GGGGGGGGGGGGGGGGAAATCCCTTCTTAGGGAGCCTTGGATTAAAATCTTCAACAATCTCACATAGGCTGTTGACTTTGACCAGCAGAAAATATTTTCCTAAAACTGGATTTAAATGCTGGTCGAAGGGGGACTTAGCCAAGATTGTGACCATCATATACTCACACAGAGAGACACACAGCTACAGGGGGAGAACCAACAGACCCATAAGGCTTGGGGCCCCTCCCTGCATACTCCCGACAAATCAAACTGCCCATGTTTTCTCCAGAAACCTCCCCAAATAAGGAACATCTCCATGAAAATAATAACCAAACGATTGTCAAGAGAGTTCCCGGTTTATAATCATCCTCACAATCCATGAAGTAGATGAATCAATGAACTTTTTGGCTAGCCAGGAAGCTAAGGATCGAGTTTTAACCAAACTTGCTGGTCTCAACCACCCTGTCATAATGGGAAATATTATATATTGCTCCTGTTAATTACAATGCAGTAGTCCTCGACTTAAACAACGGTTCATTTAGTGACTTTTGAAAGTTACAGCGGGCGAAACAGCCTAAAGAATGGCCACTTGACCACAGAGCCCTGCAAACGGTCGTAAATGTGATCTTCTGAAAAAAAAACAACTTCCAGTGTTGGAGCATTCACCGCTTCTGGAGGCAGGTTGTTCCACTGGTTAATTGTTCTAATTGTCCAACTTACGATCTGTCTTAAGACAAGGATTTACCTGCATCATATTCGTGTTTGTTGTGGTGTTTTACTGCCATGCAGATCGTAGAAGCAGGCCTTAAGTAAAACAGCATTTATGTAGGAAATTGTGCTATTTGTTGTGAGGTTTTAGCAGCCATGATAAAAGTCTGTTCCAGGTGAATGTTAAACCCCAAAATTTGGGATTTATCCCGGCTGTTAAAACCTCACCACAAACAGCACAGGGTGGAGACAGGAGCAAGTGAGAGAGAGACACAGACAGAAATGAAAGAACGGCACGTGGGAATAATCTGCTTTTCTCAATCTGTCTTGCAGCTCCCCCCGTTTTTCAGAAGATTCCGCCAGCTTTCATCGAGGTCCAGGACCAAAAATCTCTGACCCTCTCCTGTTTGGCCACTGGCAACCCACCACCCTTGGTCTCTTGGAAGAGAGACAGCCAAACCATTGAAAATGGAAAAGAAATGCAGGTATTTCGTTTCCTGTGGGTGTCCGTTGCAGTAAAACCCTGGATTTAACAGCCTACTTGAAAAGAAAGGTCTGTTATTCTCAACTGTCCGTTAAATACAAAAAGGAGATCCTTGGCAGCAGTTTAGAAAAACTTAAAACAACCACAGTTGGGAACCAGACTTTCCATTGCTAAGCAAGTCGTTCAGTGTGCCTGGGTGTGGACTTGACCTGCTGCATCCAAAATCTGTTAAATGGAGATCCGTTAAATCAGAGGGTTGTGTTAAATCAGAGTACCCTAAAGATTGGCTTGTTTTTAGCAACATACCCAAATTTTTTTTTGTTTTCCAGGTGAAAAACGGAACTCTCTTTATTGCTAGAGTTGAACGGACCTGTGCTGGGCTGTACACTTGCCATGCCAGCAATCAAGAAGGCACTGTCATTCACACAACTCGCCTCCTAGTCCAAGGTAAGTCCTTTCTGACCTAGAGAAGCTACCGTATTTCCTCAAAAATAAGACCTGCCCGGAAAATAAGCCCTAGCATGATTTTTTTTTTCAGGATGCTCGTAATATAAGCCCTTCCCCCAGTTACGATTGTCAGCCAGACGCGTTTAGTGCGCCTGTTGCAACACACAACAGACTTATTGAATTATAAAATAATAATCTTAATATATAACTAAATATAAATAAATAATATTATCGACATTATTTATTTTGAATAAATGTAGATTGTTGTACATGAAAAAAAATACGACATCCCGTGAAAATTAAGCCCTAATGCGTCTTTTAGAGCAAAAATTAATATAAAACCTGGTCTTATTTGGGGGGGGGAATATGGTAATTAATTGAAAGAGGAATCATGGAGTCGGAAGGGATATTAAGAGGTCCTCAAGACCAACCCCTGCACCCAGCAGCGTTCACTACGCCACCCTCAGACCAGATGCCTTTATGACTTCTTCAAACCTTATACAGGTAGTCCTCAAGTTACGACGACAACTGAAAGGGGAATTTCTGTCACTAAACCAAGGTACAGATGGTCTCCAGAATTGTAGTAGAGCCTCTCTCACACACACACAACCACATCTTCCCAGCTGAAAGGACCCAAACACACACACAGGCCCGTTGGTACATAGGTGGTCCTCGACTTAACAACCATTCATTTAGTGACCGTTAGGAGTTACTGTGAAAGCTTTTCAACGCCATCATAGCTTTTGGTCACTAAATGAACTGTTGTAAGCCAAGGATGACCTGTACTCTCCTCGGTTCCGCTCGGTTGCTGCAGAAATTCACTTTTCTGTCTCTGTGTTTCTGCCAGGGCCACCGGTGATCGTGGTCCCTCCCAAAGATGTCACCGTGAACCTCAGCCAAAATGCCTTTTTCGCTTGCCAAGCTGAAGCCTATCCTGCCAACCTCACCTACAGCTGGTTCCAGGGGGGCACCAATGTCTTCCACCTCAGGTATGGAAAGGAGAGAAGCAACCTAGAACTAAGGAGAAACTTCCTGACAGTCAGAACAATTAACCAGTGGAACAACCCGCCTCCAGAAGCGGTGAAGGCTCCAACACTGGAAGTTTTTAAGAAGAGGCTGGACAGCTATTTGTCCGAAATGGTATAGGGTTTCCTGCCTGAGCAGGGGGTTGGACTAGATGACCTCCAAGGTCCCTTCCAACTTTATTATTATTATTATTAAAGGAGAATCCCTCCCAAGATTTTCTCCCTGGTGGCAGAAAGTCCTCGTAGTCCTCGCCTTAACGACCACAATTGAGCCCAGAATATAAGCGAAACATTGGGGAAGTGAGTTTTGCCCCATTTTACGACTTTTCTGGCTACCGCTGTTAAGTGAATCACTGCGTCTTGTTCAAATTTGCCAAACGGTTGTTAAGCGAAACTGGCTTCCCCTTGGCTTGTCGGAAAGTCGCAAAAGGGGATCGCGTGATCCCAGGAACACTGAATCCGTCATAAGTATGAACCGGTTGCCATCTCTGTTGTCATTCTAGATCCGGGGTCTCCAAACTCGACAACTTAAAGTCTTGTGGACTTCAACTCCCAGAATTCCCCAGCCAGCATCCTGAATTCTGAAAGTTGAAATCCATAAGTCTTAAAAGTCGCCGTGTTTGGAGAGCCCTGATCTAGGATGGCAACAGAGCTGTCTCTTAATGCGACTTCATTTGACTTCTCTTTCTTTCCTGGTGTCTCCAGCCATCTCCGGTCCCGGATTCAAATCCTGGTGGACGGAAGCCTCTCGGTCCAGAAAACGACCCCGGAGGATTCGGGAAAATATACCTGCATCCCCAGCAATGGGCTGAGGAAACCGCCCTCAGCTTCGGCCTTCCTTACGGTTCTGTGTAAGTGCTGCTTAATTTCACCTCTTGATTTAATTTCTCCTTAACCTAGATCTCGTTCCTTTCTAGCTTCGTGGTCCATCCCTTGACCTCACAGTCCTAGTCCCAAGGATCTCACAATCCCAGGCCACCTTTGCCACCCCCTAGTATCAGTGTTTCTCAACCTTGACCATTTTAAGGCATGTGGACTTCAACTCCCAGAATTCTGGGAGTTGAAGTCCACATGCCTTAAAATTGTCAAGGTTGAGAAACACTGTGCCTAGTTCTTCTAGCTTCCCTCCCCAGTGCCCTGATCTCACAACCCCACTGTTGACACCAAGCTGTCCTCCATCTGACAGATCCAGCTCAAGTCGCTAAGATGCCTCCAGAGACCTTCCTGCCGATCGGCATGCAAGGCACAATCCGGTGCCCCAGCAGAGCCCACCCCCCACTGCTCTCCGTCAGCTGGATCAAAGACGGGCAGCCGCTGGAGATTGGCAAGGTAGGTTTTGGGGGGCTGAGGGACCCCCTGCCCCAGCTTCCTTTTCTCCCACTCTTTTTCCTGAACCCCTGCGTTCTCCCTTTCTGCAGTTTCCAGGCTGGTCCCTGAAAACCGACGGGACCATTATCATTGCCACAAGCAACGACGATGCCCTGGGCGTGTACGCTTGTACCCCGTACAACAGTTTTGGAACGGCGGGCACTTCAGCACCCACGCGGGTCCTCCTCAAAGTGAGTAAGAAATTGGAGGGCCCGACCCAATGAGTTCTCAGCAAAACGTTCCAGGTATCCCTGTCTCATGCAGTGCTGGCAGAGATGTGTGGGTTCTAGATCACTCAACCTTGGCAGCTTTTAAGATGGGTTGTCTCAAAGGTGCTTTTTCCAAAAGCAACTGGACTGTGACTGTGAAAAAACGTAATCCAGTTGCTTTTTGAAAAAGCATCTTTGACTTGGTTGACTAAGGATCTCCATAGACATCTAAGATGGGTTGATTTCAACTCTGGCGTAGCCTTTTATTGGCAGTTTTAGGCTGCTGTTCTCTTCACGTGAAGTGCTAGTACTGCTTTTATTAGGCCACACTTGGAATCCTGCATCCAGTTTTGGTCACCACAATGTAAAAAAGATGTTGAGATTCTGGAAAGAGTGCAGAGAAGAGCAACAAAGATGATCAGGGGACTGGAGGCTAAAACACATAAAGAACGGTTGCTGGAATTGGGTAGGTCTAGTTTAATGGAAAGAAGGACGAGGGGGGACAGGACAGCAGGGTTTCAATATCTGAGGGGCTGCCCCAAAGACGAGGGGGTCAACTTATTCTCCAAAGCACCAGAAGGCAGGACAAGAAACAACGGATGGAAACTAATCAAGGAGAGAAGCAACCTGGAACTAAGGAGAAATTTTCTGACAGTGAGAACAATTAACCAGTGGAACAACCTGCCTCCAGAGGTTGTGAATGCTCCAACACTAGAAGTTTTTAAAGAGACTGGACAAGCATTTGTCTGAAACGGTGTAAGGTTTCCTGCCTGAGCAGGGGGTTGGACTAGAAGACCTCCAAGGTGCCTTCCAACTCTGTTAAGCAGTGGTGTTTTCTGTGGCATTCTGTTTTTCAGGATCCTCCCACGTTCACCCTTCGGCCCAAAGAGGAATATTTCCAGGAAGTGGGCCGGGAGCTGCTAATTCCATGCGTGGCCCAAGGAGATCCCATACCCATCATCTCTTGGACAAAAGTGAGTCGCCGCCGTTTTGCACGAAGTGGACCATTTCTGATAAGATTCAGTATTTTTTTTTAAAGTTAACTTTTTAAGACGGCCGTTTGCATGCCAACCTGCCCAGCAGGCCTTCCGCTCTCCGAGCAGGCTATAAAAATTTGAAAATAAAAATAAAAACGTCGATTGCTTGGCATTTTCACTTAACGGCCGCTCTGCAGAGCGACACAGTTGCCGGTCCCAATTAAGGGTTGTGAAGTGAGGATTGCTTGTACGTAAGGTGACCGGTTTGATTGGTTTCCTGCTGAAACAGGTGGGCAGCAAGACGCTGGTCAACGGGCAGATGGGCACGAACAGCAGCCTGATCCTGCGGCCCCTGACGAAGGAACAGCACGGCTTGTGGGAATGTGCCGCCAATAATGGCGTGGCCAGGGTTAGTGCCACCACCACAGTCTACGTGTTGGGTGAGTTTAATAATAATAATAATAATAATAATAATAATAATAATAATAATAAAAAAGTTGGAAGGGACCTTGGAGGTCATCTAGTCCAACCCCCTGCTCAGACAAACGGCTGTCCAGTCTCTTCATAAAAACTTCCAGTGTTGGAGCATTCACCGCTTCTGGAGGCAGGTGGTTCCACTGGTTAATTGTTCTCACTGTCAGGAAGTTTCTCCTTAGTTCTAGGTTGCTTCTCTCCTTGATCAGTTTCCACCCGTTGCTTCTCGTCCTGCCTTCAGGCGCCTTGGGGAATAGCTTCTTTGGGGCAGCCCCTCAAATATTGGAACACTGCTATCATGTCCCCCCTCGTCCTTCTCTTCATTCAACGAGATATATCCAATTCCAGCTGCAAAGGTGGTCACTGTGAAAAACGGTCATAAGTCCCTTTTTTTCTGTTGAAACAGTCACTAAACGAATGGTTGTAAGTCAAGAACTGCCTGTTATTTCATACCCCAAATTTTGTCTGGCAAAGTCCTTAAATCTCTTTATTTAGTGACTTTCCACTGAATTGAGTTAAACTAATGCAGCTCCTTTTCTGCCCCCCCCCCCAAATCAGGTACCAGCCCCCACGCTGTGGTCAACGTTTCCGTGTGGCCCTTACGACAAGCCGTTAATGTTACCTGGGAACCAGGATTTGATGGAGGTTACTTTCAAAGATTCAGCATCTGGTACACCCCAATGTAAGTCTTTGGGGCCACTCTGTGGGGGCTTCTCAGCTGTTCTATTTCCCTCCCCCCCCTCTCTGTCAAAATTAAAAATACTTTACAGATGTTTCATCCACAAATTCGTCTGCATTTCTGTTTTCTTTCCAAGAGGGCCTAAGAAATTCGCCCTTCTGTTTTAAGCTGGCATTCTGGTGCCTCCATGTTTGTTTGTTTTTTAACACACGTTGTGTCAGAACATGCACAGTCTTATTGCGCTGAGGTAACTCAGGAGTAAATGCAGTAAAGAGCGGGTTGTATTAAATGGTGGTTTATATTACACTATCTACAAATATACACAACAAAATACATACACGTAATATGGCAAACTCCAACACACAGCAATTACAGCAGGAAATGGACGAGAGAGAGAAAGACTCCAGCAAAGCCTTCCCTTTTATACTCAAGCTCTTAAAGGGATACAGACCCTGCTGAGTCATTCCTAACTTTGCGTCATTCATCTCACATTAGCTTCTGGTTAGCTTCTAAATCATTACCTTGACTCATTGTTTTAATCGTAGATTGAGACGCCTGAACCGGCCCCACCACGACTGGGCCTCGTTACCGGTGCCCGTGGGGGCTTCCCACATCCTGGTGGAGAACCTGCAGCCAGATACGAGCTATCAGTTCAGTGTCTTGGCCCAGAACAAACTCGGCAGCGGTCCTTTCAGCGAAATCATCTCCATCACGCCTCTGGGTGAGAAGCGATCGCCACTTTGCTCGGGATGGGAGGCTGTATTCTTCTGATTCTCAGAGCAGTATAGCCCAAGGATAGATAACTGCCAGGTGGGCCTCAATTTAGGACCGCAATTAATGGAATGGAATGGAAAATGGAATGGAATAGAAAAGAAAGTGGAGTAGAATATAGAATATAGAATAGAATAAGAAAAGAATAATAGAAGAGAATAGAGAATGGAATGGAATAGAATAGAATTAACCAGTGGAACAACCTGCCTCCAGAAGTTGTGAGTGCTCCAACACTGGACGTTTTTAAGAAGAGACTGGTGTAGAGTTTCCTGCCTGAGCAGGGGGTTGGACTAGAAGACCTCCAAGGTCCCTTCCAACTTTATTATTATTATTATTAGAATATGAATAGAATAGAATAGAATAGAATAAGAATAAGAATAGAATAATAGAAGAGAATAGAGAATAGAATAGAATAATTAGAATAAATAGAATAGAATAAGAATAGAATAATAGGAGAGAATAGGAATAGATGGAAGGGACCCTGGAGGTCTTCTAGTCCAACCCCTTGCACAGGCAGGAAACATACCATTTCAGACAAATGATTGTCCAATCTCCAATGCTGTTGTAACTTTGAACGGTCCCTAAACGAATGGTTGTACCTGTATTTTACTTTTAAAGTAAATTTTGCAAGAGTCAGTCAAGGAGGAAGATTTAAGAAGATCGAAGCAATCTGCATTCTTCCTCAAGGCAGCCCCCCGTTTCTCTTCTTCCTTTCTCAGGGGTCCCAATTCAGACTGTGCCCCCCATCCTCCCAACCACCGCCTCCCTGGTCTTCCTTCCCCCACCCCAGCTCCTGAGATCCAACGAGACCACGCGGGGGGTCCTCCTCCTGTGGGAACCTCCACTCCACGATCCTTCGGCCTTGACGGGATATTCGCTGGAGCTGCGCCAGAATCTGGGAAAGTGGGAGGTGCTGAGTGGGTCCATTCCCAGCTCCGAGACTCATTTCCTGGTGCCAGGACTCATCAAGGTGCGTTTGATGCCAGTTCTAGCTTTGCAAGCACCTGGAGAATCCTCAGCCCGAGGGTGGGGTTGGCATGGAGAAAAGTGTATTATTTAGCAACTTGAAGACGTGTGATCTTCAACTCCCAGAATTCCTGTGGCTGGCTGGGGAATGCTGGGAATTGAAGTCCACCCATCCTAAAGAATGCTGGCTAGGGAATGCTGGGAATCGAAGTCCACCCATCTTAGGGAATGCTGGGAATTGAAGTCCACCCATCTTAAAGAATGCTGGGAATTGAAGTCCACCCATCTTATAGCATGCTGGCTGGGGAATTCTGGGAGTTGGTCCACCCATCTTAAAGAATGGTGGCTGGGGAATTCTGGGAGTTGAAGTCCACCCATCTCAAAGTTGCCAATATTTGAGAAACACTAAATAGAATCTCTTCTCAAAGTGAATAATATAAAAATAAAACCAGAAACTTCTTTTCTGGATTTAATGCAGGGGCTTTATTCCTGAAAGTTTTATTCTTATCTACATCCACAATGCCTTGGTCTGTTGCTTTCTCATCATGGTGAGATAGCATCCATTTTGGTGGGCGAACCTATGGTGCATCTGCTCATTCCTTCCCCCTTCCAACACAGGATACCTTCTATGAGTTCCGCCTGATGGCTTTTGCCGGTAGCTACATCAGTTATCCCAGCAATGTGGTGAATGTTTCAACCACAGGTAAGTCCCAAGATTTGTGGCACATGATGGGATACTCGATCCTTTTGCTAGCCAAGGATGTGATTCAACCTGTTTGGATTGTCTTTGGGGACTAAGACTCAAACTGTGTTACTTGATTTTTTTTTTTCCAGGATGCTTGTAATATAAGCCCCACCCCAAAAATAAGATCATCAGCCAGGTGGACGCACTTGGTACCGTATTTCCCCAAATATAAGCCCTAACCAGAAAATAAGCCCCTAATGTGTCTTTTGGAGCAACAATTAATATAAGGCCCCGGTCTTATTTTCAGGGAAATACAGTAGTGAAAGATGGAAGGCAGATGGAGAAGGGGAGATGGTTAGATAGTGTCATTGACACAATGAACATGAATTTGGGCAAACTCAGAGACGGGAGGACAGGGGAGCCTGCCGTGGTCCACGGGGTCGTGAAGAGTCAGACATGACTTAGCAACTGAACGACGTTTTTAATGGCTCTGGTTTTGCTTCGGTGTTCGCAGGAATGGAGGTGTACCCTTCTCGCACTCAGCTCCCCGAAATGCTACCGCAGCCTGTGCTGGCTGGCGTGATTGGGGGTGTCTGCTTCCTGAGCACGGCTGTCATTTTTAGCACCATGGCAGCCTGTGTCATGAACCGGAGGAGAGCAGCCCGTCTACGCAAACGCAGGCAAGGTAAGCCCCCAAAAGCACCACAGTGGCGTGATAACAAAAGTGGCAGCGGTGCAGGAGAAGGATATCTTTAAATTTTAAAAAAAGGTTAAATCCTGGCAACTGGACCAATGTTTGTTAAAATTGAGAGGTGTTTGTTACTCATCGAAGTAGCTTCTTCGGTCAAAATGAAAAATTTTGGTAGGCAGAGAGTCAAGAGCAGGGGTCTTCAAACTTGGCCCTTTGATGACTTGTGGACTTCAACTCCCAGAATTCCTCAGTCGGTCATTTTGATGAAACTGCGGGCTTGGATCCAGACCAGGAGTCTTCAAACTTGGCTCTTTGATGACTTGACTTCAACTCCCAGAATTCCTCAGTCAGTCATTTTGATGAAACTGCAGGCTTGGATCCAGACCAGGGGTCTTCAAACTTGGCCCTTTTATGACTTGTGGACTTCAACTCCCAGAATTCCTCAGCCAGGCACTTGCGTGTCTGGCTGACCACACATCTTAAAGCAGTCAAGGCTGAGAAACACTTCTTTATGCAAAAGTCTCTTTTGAGCTATAGTTGGGTATCTTTCTTTTGTAAATTCTTCTCTCTCTTTTTTTGACATTTAGTGGGACGAGACAGCCTGTTAAAAACAAGCCCATTTGCTCACCTTTCTGTTAGTTGCCTACCGCCAAGTTTCTACCCAAACTCATTTTTGTAGCATTAAATCTTTTTGATACTCACTGTCCAAAACTACCAGTTTTGTTTTCAAAAGGTATCTGATTTTAGTGAATGTTTTTAAAGCTACAAGACTATTTGGTTTTTATGTTGCCACACTTGGGGGGAAAGGAGGCTCTTGTTTTGTTTTTAAGGGATGGCTACAAACTAATTTTTTTCCCCTTTTCCTTTCAACTGGAAATTTCAGAACCTCTTAAAGCATACTGGCTGTGGAATTCTGGGAGTGGAAGTCCACCCATGTCATAGTTGTCACGGTTGAAAAACACTGCCGCAAACACTCAAATCACTATGTGCCAAACCTCACACCAGTCAGTCAGAAATACATATATATATTTACCAGGCATTATCTTTTTTCTCTCTGTGTTTTATACCTAGTATAAATTTGATTTTTTTTTAAAAAAATGGAATGCGATGGTTTTTGTTTTTAATTTTTTACTTTTTTAAACCCTGCCCTTATTGTTTTTATAAATATATCAACACAGCAAACAGACAGGGTATTATTCCTTCTTCCTCCCGTTTTCCCCACAGCAACAATCCTGTGAGGTGGGCTGGGCTGGGTCTTGACGGATCTGGGAATTCAAGTCCAGAGGTGTGTGTCTGGTTGCAGGTTGCGGTCTGGCAGCGGTCCCTCCTGTTGCCAGATTGTTTTATTAATTGCCTGGGTTTGCGTATAATTTCCCCTTTTGTGTTCTCGTGACCTTCCAGATCTACCCATTGTGTTTTCCTCCACCAAGAAGCTTCTGGCTACACAGTAAGTTGCACCATTGCGCTAGTTACACTTCCTCTTCCTGGTTCCTCCTGCAGCCTCTTTTCCTTGATCTGCTGTTTTCTTCTTCCTGACAGAATTTGTGTAGCTCCGGCTTCAGCACTCATGACATTACCTAGTTGGGTAATGAAATGTCTGCAAGGAAATAACCAAGCTCAGAGAGTAAGAGGAGTGGAGTAGAATATAGAATAGAATAGAATAAAATATGTAGAATAGGATAGGATAGAATAGAATAGAATAGAATAGAATAATACAATACAATACAATACAATAAGAATAGAATAGAATAGAATAGAATGGAATAGAATAGAATAATACAATACAATAATAGAATAGAATAGAATAGAATAGAATAGAATAGAATAGAATAGATGGAAGGGACCTTGGAGATCATCTAGTCCAATCCCCTGCTCAGGCAGGAAACCCTATGCCATTTTGGACAAATGGCTGTCCAGTCTCTTCTTAAAAACTGCCAGTGTTGGAGCGTTCACAGTTTCTGGAGGCAGGTTGTTCCACTGGTTAATTGTTCTAACTGTCAGGAAGTTTCTCCTTAGTTCTAGGTTGCTTCTCTCCTTGATTAGTTTCCACCCGTTGCTTCTTGTCCTGCCTTCAGGCGCCTTGGAGAATAGCTTGACTCCCTCTTCTTTGGGGCAGCCCCTGAGATACTGGAACACTGCTATCGTGTCCCCCCTCGTCCTTCTCTTCATTAAACTAGACATGCCCAATTCCTGCAACCGTTCCTTATGTGTTTTAGCCTCCAGTCCCCTGATCATCTTTGTTGCTCTTCTCTGCACTACTGTTAGTACAGCAACTTATGTCTCTCTCTTTCCCAACAGGCATTCAACAGGTACAGCTAGCCCGGACAGCATTATGAAGCTGAAACTTCAGGCGTCTCCCTATCAGAGTCTTCGCCGGACCCTCTTCTGGGGCGAGAAAGCTGGCCGTAACCTCAGTCTCGATCTCTCGGGTGGCCACGCCAGGAACAGCACCAACTACGTCCCCTACGAGAGTCACGTGGACCAGTCGCTTCCTCTTGAACGCATCTCCCGGGGTCCCGACGGCCGTTTTGTGGTGCAAAGTGAGGACGAGTCGCGAGAACGTCGCCTGGAGAACGGCGAGGGCCCACCGGAGCCCTATCTCCAACTCTTCTCTCCTCCCAAGGACCCCGCGTGGCACCGAAGTGTCCACCTGAGACCCAAGAATGCCGGCCAGGCCCAACAGGAAGCCAAGGCCTCCGGCCACCGCCAAGGCCGCTACTTCGACTACAGCAGCAGCAGCCTGACGGAGGAAGCCGAGCCCTTGCGTATCGTCAGCATCAGCCCAGTGGCCGCCACGCCGTACGGCGCTGTCCGGGATACCCAGTGGCTCCCGGACACCGTGGCGTTGTCTCCCTCCTCCTCCTCCTCCTCCTCCTCCTGCTCCTCCTCGCCTCTCCGTACGTCAAAGTCGACATCTCCGTCACCCAGCATCCAGGCCAGGGCGAGCAATTCTGCCCAGAGCGGGATTCTCCAGTATCTGAGTTTGCCCTTCTTCAAGGAGATGAACGTGGATGGTGACTGGCCTCCGGAGGAGAACGAGAAGGAAGATGGACCCTCGCTGGAGACCGTCCCCCACCAGCCTGGCCTTCTGGACAGCCCCAGGCAGCCTTTTGCGCCGGATCAAGACAGGCCAGCTGGTCCAATCTACATGGACATGGAGCCCGATTCGAGCTCCGTTCAGGATCCGCTCGTGGAAACTTCCTTCCTCCGACTTCCGGATCCCGATACGGGTCCCGCGAACACCCCTTTGCCGGGGTCCCTGGCTTGTCCACTGTACCTCTGTTCCAGGGCCGAGAGCCCACCGCCGAAGGACCAAGAATGGTTATGGACGCTGTCCTCCTCCTCCTCATCATCATCACCAGCCTCCCAGCCCCTTCCGGATTGCCCCCAGGCGGAGGTCTCCTGCCTGGCCCTCCCCTTGCCCCAGCTGCCCCCCGAAAAACACAACCCCACCGCTGCCAATTTCCCACAAAGCCTCCCCTCGGAGAAATTCCTGAGGGGTAGCTTGACCAGCCAAAGCAGCGGACGGGGCAGCGCGTCTTTCCTAAGACCGCCGTCGTTGGCCACCTCCGTGGCGGGCAGCTACCTCAGTTCCCCCTTCGGAGAAACGGCCAGTTGCCAAAGCGGCTCCGTGGGAGAAGAGAGCCGGTCCAAAAAGGAGAGTTTAGTTGCTGTGTTGGAGAAAAGGTGACGTCGAATCCCTGTGTTTGTGTGTGTGTGTGTGTGTGTGTGTTTTGAGGCTGAGCATTTTGTAAGAATCTGTCCTAGACAGTCCCTGGAGAAGGGGTGTGAGGTTCAAGGGAAAAAAAAATAAAAAGAAGCTTTAACAAGTTTCTAGTCCTTAAGGCTGGGCCTTCCTCCTTAGGACCTCAGAGGCGATCTTTGGTGGAATTGCAACTTCTCTTGTGAATTCAAGGCATTTTTCCAGAACTAGGAGATGGAATCTTTAATTTAAGATTTAATTAACCCTGGTGTTGGCCAGCTTTGAACAATGTTGGTTTAATCGCAGAAGATGGGAACCCATTCCCTAAAAATACTCGGCCTTAAAAGAGGATTTAATTTAGCAACTTAACCCGGACTTCCCAGTGACTGAGTTGACCCCAAACCATGATGTGTGAAACACCCCTAATCAGGTTTTAGACAGCAGTTTACACTTAAGGGCAGGTCCTTGCGCTGTGTTGCATCAGGAATTTCCCTGGTTATTTCCATCTCGTCTGGCGTGGTTGTGTGAACGCAACCCGCTTCAGTTCTCTTTTGAGATCGGCTCAGATGCTAAAAGTGGCCTGGTTGAGTTTGGGGAGGCGTTGAGGGCCTTGGGAATGAAAAACAAAAAAAAGCTATGTTTATCCCAAATCTTGGCAGGGAATTGCTTTGACCGTGCCACAGATGGATGGGAAGCTGCTGTTTCCCAATGTATCCACCAGGTGGGGATGTTCCCTGTAAGCATCTTTTAATTCAGGGGTCTTCAAACTTGGCAACTTTTAAGACTTCTGGACTTCAACTCCCAGAATTCCTCAGCCACGCACACGTGCCTGGCTGAGGAATTCTGGGAGTTGAAGTCCACAAGTCATCAAAGGGCCAAGTTTGAAAACGGCAAGTTGCAGCCATGTCATGTCACAGTTAGCAACTGCAGTGATTCGCTTAACGGCCGACAGAAGCAAGAACGGTTGCGAAATTGGGTTTGGGGTCAGTCTTCCGACAGACCCCTGCATTTTTCTTGGCGAGGTTTTTCGGAAGGGGCTGAGAGAGGAGGACTGGCTCAAAGTCACCCATCTGGCTTTCAGGCCCAAGGCAGGACTAGAACTCACCGTCTCCTGGTGATTGGTCCAAAGTCATCCAGCCGTCTTTCATGCCTAAGGCGGGACTAGAACTCGCAACCTCCTGGTGATAGGCCCAAAGTCACGCAGCTGGCTTTCGTGCCTAAGGCGGGACTAGAACTCACCTCTCCTGGTGATTGGTCCAAAGTCTTCCAGCCTTTCATGCCTAAGGCGGGACTAGAACTCACTGTCTCCTGGTGATTGGTCCAGAGTCACCCAGCAGGTTTTGTGTCCCAGTAGGACTCGAACTCAGGTCCTCCTGGTTTCTAGCCTGCTGCCTTCATCCTCTCCGCCACACTGGCTTGTTAAAGCGATAAGCCATCTCTATATTTGCATTTTTCTCACCCATCTGCCTGAACTCCCTTTAAATCTCTTCCAGGAGGAATACTTCTGTGGACGAGAATTACGAATGGGACTCGGAGTTCGCTCTGGAATCGGAGTTACTGGACGCCTTGCAACTTTATCGGAGTGGGGACCCCAAAAGACCCATTTCCACCATCGCAGCCCAGGAGTTGGAGAAGCAGAGTAAGCAGACACACACTACATCTCACCCACCCACCCCCCGGGCTTGTAGGAAAGAGTATTCCAAAAGGGATTTTATTTATTAAATTTATGTATTAGATTTCTTCCAAATACTTCAGGAAGGTTTTAAGATTATTAATGTCCCTTGGGACGATGCCGAAGCTGCTGCAAACGGTCAAAACTGCTGGAAACTACGGCACAGGATGAGGATGATTAAGATTTATTAATTTTCTATTAAATAAATACATTTTTTGGTTAAATAAATTAAATAAATAATTCCCAAGCCTCAAAATTCTGCTTTATTCATCTCTGTCTGTCGGAACCATGACAGCACAGCCGATTAATCCCATTCCCCTTTCCCCAGACAGAGTATGGGGTCGTCGTGACTTGAACCCATGTCTTCCTCTGCCTCCCCTTTGCAGGCTTCAGAGGCTCAGCCGAACCCAGCAGAACGTCCCCTTCTAATTCCCAGTCGGTCGGCACCTTGGATGGGTCCAGCTCTCCGCTGCCCTTGGCCAGCCCGGAAGAACGTTGCGCCGCCCTGCGCAAAGAATTCCTCGCTTACCGCCGTCGCCGAGAAATGATTCAGCAACGGCGACAGAAGATGGACCCCAGCAGGACGGATGAGCGATTTGAGCAAGCCACCTTATTCTAAATTTTGGGAGTGGTGCAGTTTGCCCTCTGTCCACAAGAGGGCAGCCTTGGGACAACTTGAATGCTAACTCTGCCCTCTAGAGGCATGCAGGAGAACTTGCTTTGGAACCGGGCAATTTTTTATTTTATTTTTTGCAAGTTTTTTTCCCCCAAATCTCGAGTGTTTTATCCAGGCAGAAAGAAAAATAACATTGACACCACCCTTGTGGGTGTCTTGGTGGGTGTGAATGCACACGCGTGATTTATTTCCAGCAGGATTCTAGATCAGAAGAAACGGGTGGTGGGATGTTTGGTAAAACGGGGCTTTGTTGAAAGAAAGAAAGAAAAAAGGACATTTTACCAAAGGTTGGTGTCTTGCAAATTCTTAAACGTGAAATTAGCATGTAAGTGAAGAGCTGGTTTACAAAAAAAGATGGAGCTGGGTCATTGAAGGTGTTCAAGTAACTTGGGAATAGGTCTGCGGGCTTGTTTGGAGGCAGACAAGGGGAAAGGAGGGAAATAAAATGAGTGGAGCAGATCTGACCCCCTCCCCCAGCCCTAATTCACTAGTGGCTAGTGGTCAGCGATGGTGGGAGATGTAATCCCACAGCATCTGGAAGACCACAGCTTCATTGCCTCCAAGGACTGTGGGCCAAATTCAGGGTGGATATGTCGATTCTTCTTTTTCCCCGTTCTTAAATCCCAAATTGGGAATTATTAAGAAGGGCTAGTGGGGGACATGATAACAGTCTTCCACTATTTGAGGGGCTGCCACAAAGAAGAGGGGGTCAGCTTATTTTCCAAAGCACCAGAAGACAAGAAACCACGGATGGGCAGTAATCAAGGAGAGAAGCAACCTGGAATGAAGGAGAAATTCCTTGACGGTGACCGGTGGAACGACTTGCCTCCAGACATAGGGGGTGGGGTGCTTCATCGCTCGAGGTTTTTAAGAAGAGACTGGACAGTCATTTGTCTGAAGTAGGATCTCCTGCCTGAGCAGGGGGCTGGACTAGAAGACCTCCAAGGTCCGTCCCAGCTCTATTCTGATAAATTATTTTAAGTTACGGCTGGAGCAGATAGCTGGACTTCCATCAGGCAATACCGTTTAAAAGATTTAAGTGAAAAGTGAAGAGTAAAAATGCTAAAGTAGAAGGTAAAAATGGAGAGCATAAACCCGGAACTGCTCACCTGTTGCCCTCTTAAGCTCCGCCCCAAATTTTGGGCTTAGGAGATGACCTGGCGGAAGTGACCACTGCTTTTGAAACAAGTCCCTCCCCCCAAATCCTGCCTGGCATGGAGTTGCTTTTGTGCCGGTCTTAGCAAAAGAACGCAAGTACAGGTACCGTAGTTCTCAATGTACGACCACAGTTGAGCCCAAAATGTATTGTTAAGCAAGACATTGGTTAAGTGGGTTTTTGCCCCCTTTTACGACCTTTCTAGCCACCGTCGATAAGTGAAATACTGCAGATGTTAAATTAGTAACATGAATTGGGCTTCCCCTGTTGACTTTTGCTTGTCAGAAAGTGGTAAAAGGGGATCACGTGACTCAGGGACGCTGCGACCGTCATAAATAAGTTGCCAAGCGGCCAAATTTTGATCAGGGATGCTGCAACGGTCGTAAGTGTGAAAAAAACGGTCGTAAGTCGATTTTTTCAGTCCTGTCGTAACTTTGAACAGTCACTAAGCAAACTTTTGCAAGTGGAGGACCACCTATACAGCAGAGGACCCCATCCTTTGGGGCATCAGGGACCGGTTACGTGGAGAAAGATTTTGCTACGGACCAGAGTGCGTGTTTTTTGTGTGCTGCCTGCATCCCGCGGATGGGGCTTTGCTTGTTTGTGCAGACCGGTTGCTGGCATGCCGTGGCCCGGTGCTGGTCCACGGACCGGGGTTGGAGACCCCTGCTATAGAGGCAGACCTTGACTTGTGTCCACCACGGAACCCAAAATTAAAGTGAGCTTTGCTCCACTTTACAGTTAAGTGGGATCACTGGAGTTGTTGAGCTGGTAACTTAACAACTGCAGTTGGTTTGAGGACTTCCTGTGAAGCAGGCATGCCAACCACACGGGCACAGCACGCACGCCCCGGCCCCATAAGGGCAAAACATGTCACAATACAGCCCACAATGCAATCGTGTTTGACACCCCCGCTGTAGAGTTAGAACGGAGCCCTCCAGTTAAACCCCAGAAGTTGGGACGGGCCCTGCATTTTTTGGGGGGGGGGCATCCAAAGGGCGCCAGAGTTCACGGGGAATTCTCCGCTTGCACCGACAAGCGGACCCAGGAGACGGGGTCACCAGTTGCAGGGCAGATGTGAATCAGGGCTGACACAGCTCTGATTCCACAGCCGTTTTCGGTTGCTGGTCAGGGAGCATGACAATTTCTGACTCACAAAAACTTCTGCTTCAGGCTGTGTTGCTTCATCCTTCAGGGGAACGTACAGGTCAATGTACAATCAAGCCAGTTTTGGCAGGCAGCCGTGCCTCGTTTTGCGACCTATTTTCCCCCGCCGTCGTTCAGCAGATCGCTGCGAATCTTGCGGCTGTAGAGCCAATCTTGACTTTTGCTGGCCGGAAGCCGGCCGGAAAGGGTTACTAATGGAGATCCCTTGATCCCAGGACGGTGCAACGGTCCTAAATACGTTCCAGGGGCCAAATGGATCCTAACTAGACAAAAGGGATCTGGGTGATCTGTTGGGGTTTTTTTTTTTTGCACAGGCTCAACAGATTTGATGACCCGAAGCAAGGGATGTGTGGGTGTGTGTATCAAACTTCATGGCTTTTAAGGCTTGTGGACTTCAAACTCCCAGAATTCCCCAGCCAGGATAGTTGCCAAGGTAGGGAATTCTGGGAGTTGAAGTCCACAAATCTGAAAATCACCAAGTTTGGAGCAATGGCCCGGAGCAATGATAATCTTCATTCTTGTCCCTTTCTTTCCTGTTTCCAACCAGCATCACCCTCCCAATTTGGGGAGGGGCTGCAGCAGAAGCAACCTAAACCCCAGAGCTGCCCCCCCCGTGGCATTTGGGAAACGAGTGGGGGGGATACAATTATGTCATTGGGCATTGCATAGCTGAGAGCTGACGTCTGCCTCCAAAGGAATGCAGCGTACGAGGGGGCTGGTACTTCTTTTGTTTTTAGTTTTTAATTCTCTTTCCCGTTATTTCTCCTCCCCATCTGCCTTCAGCCAAAAGAGAGAGAAAAAATAAAGTAGATTTAGCAGACTTTTAAAGCTGTCCCCCCCCCCTCCAAACTTTTAGAAAAGCGGGATTTATGGTGCTAATTTTTGCTGGGAAAGAAACGTTTCTTCGAGACACAGGATTAAGAGTGGATGACCCGGCGCTTGGGGAAGGGGGTGGCGGTTTTTGAACTCGTTTCCTGTCTTCCCAAATTTGGTTTTGTCTTGCAAGTGACGTGCATCCCGAAGGGATGGAGGAGGAGGCCGGAGCTGCCCTCAGGGAAAGGAGAGAGAGATTTCCTTGTGAGGATTCAGCTGGCTCGGTGTCCTGTTTGCAAAACGCATTTCTTTTTCCTTTTTTTTATATATGTATATATAATTATTAAAATATAAAATACAAAGAAAAATGAGAATAACGGAAAAGCAGGGGAGGAAAAAGGGAAGAGGGAAAAAGTGTAGGGTAAAAAAGGAAAAGAATGGACTATTTTTAGTGCAGTAAAATAATAACAAGCAATCTCAACTTTTTACTTTAGCATAGTAATGTGTACTAGCCATGTGCATACCCACAGGCCTATCTAATCCGCAGAACCCAAAATCAGAAGTTTCATATATATATATTTTCCCACCTCCAGCACAAAGTCCAGAAGCGGTTTCCCAGTAGAAACAAAATTAAGTCAAGTTATTTTAATTATAGCAAACAATTTAACCATCTCTGCTAACTCCCATCAGCTTTTGCAACCGGTCATCCATGGTGGGAATTTAAAAAAAATTCCATTTTTCTGGCATAGACGATTCCCTTTGTTGTGTGAGGCACTTCAATTGGCATTCACACAATCTGTCGGGCTTCCGTTCTGGCTTTGTGTGTAGGTCACACACTCAGGAAATGGTTTAGCCATGACCCACAGACACAGCCAAAAACTGAGGGGGTGCCCCTTTCTTTTGTCCGACCCATGAAAGGCCCCCAAATTGGTAAATCTGATAAGTCTTCAGCCATTTGAGAGCTGGTGGCTAATTTATGGATTGGAAAGGAGACCACCAGGAATTCCTTTGGGGAAGGGAACCATTTTATTCTGGCAAATAAACACACAAGTGCACATTATTCAGATAGACCCTGGGATTTAAGCTTGACTCAAAAAAGACGTTTTTTCTTTTTTTAAAAAAAGATCTGGATTAAAAATAGAATTAGAACCAAATGAGAAGTTGGAAGGCGCGCGTGTGTTTGTGTGTGTGTGTGTGTAAGGGAGGGGTTTGTGCTAGAGATGAAAAAGAACCAGCCTCTCTAGAAGTTATTGAACACACAATACCTTGACTTACAACTATTTGTTTAGTGACTGAGGTTAAGTCACCGAAAAAAGTGACTTACGATCACTGTTCACACTTACGACCGTTGCAGAATCCCCAGGGTCACGTGATCAAAATTCAGACACCTGGCAACTGACCCGTATTTACTACGGTCGCAGTGTCCCGGCATCACATGATCCCCTTTTGCGACCACCTGACAAGCCAAGTGGCGGGGGGGGGGAAGCCAAGTTCACTTTTAAATGTTACTCACTTAACAAGCCATGATTAACTTAACAAGGGTGGCAAGGAAGGTCGTAAAATGGGTCAAAAACTCCATTGACAACAGCTCAACAGCAGAAAATTTGGGGCGTAATTGTGGATGAGGATTACTTGTCGTAGGGTTGGGAAGGGACCCTGGAGGTCTTCTAGCCCAACCCCCTGCTCAAGCAGGAGACCCCGTAGCATTCCGGACAAATGGCTGTCCAGTCTCTTGGGGAGCACTGAAAGGATCCCTGGGCAGAGAGTGGAGCCACATTGTCTCCCCCGCCTTCCTGGCTAAAGGCAGATGTGTGTTGCAGATGTGGATGGGTGAAAATTCGCTGTCCCTGCAGAGGAAAAAAAAGGTACAAAAAACCTCTTTATCTCTAGTGAGGCAATTGTGGTTGCATCACTTCAGGCTAGAAAAAAAAACGGCTTAGGCTGGGTCAGGGACGCAACATCCTGCCTCGTTTTGAAGAATCCCAGGCATTTGAGCCGAATTGTGCAACCTTGCGGACTAGAAGATTGAGGGGGGATGGGTCGGTTTGTCCAGAGAAAGCAAGAGCGGACGGGGAGGGCCCGTAAAGCTGTGCGTTGAGCTTTGGGCGGGGGTGGTGGTGGTGGTGGAGGGTCAGCCCCCCCCTTCCAGATGTGGTTGACCCACGCCTTGGCCCAACTCCCCAAGAATAAGGAACTCTTTCCCCCCCCAGCGTGGGGGATGCTGGGAATTGTAGTGCAGCCACGAGTTTAACGGAATGACAAAAAGAGTTGGAAGGGACCTCGGAGGTCTTCTAGCCCAACCCCTTGCTCAGGCAGGAAAGCCTTGAAAAGGGGGGTCCCATCAGGGCAATTCTCCCTTGGCACGGGAATGGGGACCCCGGTTCAAATCCCTCCCTTCCTCCAGAAAAAGCGCCGCTCCAAATTGGGCTCGCCTGCGGCTGACTCCGGAGTAAGGCTCTTATTCCGGAGTAGAGCTTTTACACACACACACACCCAAAGACGCCGGACGCTGCTCAAGAGCGACTCCGAATTGCCTCTTTGCGCCTTTAAGGCCTCTCCCAGTTCTTCCCCTGGAGTTTCTCTTCTTCTTTCCCACTTTTTTTTTTTCTCTCTTTTCCCTTTTCCTGCCCCCGGGGGAGGCGTCGCCACCTCCCCTCGGAGGAGCGCTGACATCAGCCTTAAAAGCCAGCGCCGGGCGTGGGAGGCGAGCGTAAGGCGCGGCTTTGCTTGGCTTCATCCGGCGGCGCTCGCAGCCACTCTCCGCGGAGGAACGGTAAGTCGGGGGGAAAGGGGGACCCCCAGGTGATCTCGGACAGGGGGGGAACCCCGCCTGAAAGACGCCCCCAGCCTGGGGGGGTGGGTGGGGGTTTCTTCTCCTCCACGTGGAGCGGCCAGCGGGAGTCTCCCCCTCCGCACGTGGCTTTGCGAAGCGCCTGGGCTGGCCGCGTGGATGATCTCTAGGGTTCCCACGCCCTTCTCGCCTTCCTAGATGTCCCGTCCTTTCTTCACTCCCCCCCACCACCACCCTGCTCCTTTCCGTTTCTCTTTTCCCTCCCGTTTGTGTTTTGGCTTTTTTTTTTCTCCTGGAACGTCGCCTTCTCTTGGGGCTGCGACTCCCATTTGGGCTGAGAAAGGATGATGAGCTTTGTAGTCCTGGGAATTCGGGCGGGTCTTCTTTGGCCCTGATCTTCTGGATCCCCAAGTTGGCAAAGAAAAGCCGAGTTTGGAAGTTGGCTAAAACTGGGCTGCGCTTCTCCTGGCGGCCACTAGGTGGCCAGGTACGGATGGGTTTTGGTGCCATCTGGTGGCTGTCTGGAGGTTTGCAGGCTTTTTTTGGGGTCACGGTTCTACAACTGTCTTTGACCCCCCACAAACTGCCCTTCCACAGCACCCCATCTTTATGGCTGATTTAGTATTTGGTGCAACCCCTAGCCAATGTTGGTTTGTGCCGTGAAAGGGTTGCCAAACAAGCTATAGTTGAGTTGAAATCCAGCTTTCCTTTTGAACTTTAAACGTTTTCTTTTAAAGAGAGTCAGCTAATTTTATACGTGTCCCTGGTCTTTGGGGGGGGGGTTAGGATCTGTGAGCTCCCCACCCAGATGTGTATTACTCCTAGCCTCCTTTCCCCCAAGGCTGGCCTTGTGGTTCATGAACATCTGTACAGCCCCCAGGCTTCCTCACCACCAATATAAATTGGTAACCATGGCGCTTCCAAGGCCTTCAAGATTATAATTATTTTTTTTAAAAAAATGTGAATAACGGTTCTATTTCGGTATCCCCCTCTTATATTTTCTGCTTGGCTGGCCTACGGACCAAAGAGGGTGGAACAGAATCTTGGCAACTTTTAAGACCTGTGGACTCCGACTCCCAGAATTCCCCAGCCAAGCCAAACCGGTTAGGGAATTCTGGGAGTTGAAGTCCACGGGGGTCTTAAAAGTTGGACTGACTTGCTATAGAGCAAAATAGTTTGTTTGCCAAGCTACAGACCAAAGGGGGATTTAGCAATGTGAGCGTAGGAACAGCCCCATAAACCAGGAAACGGGAGAAAGGAGAATGTGGTTTTGCTGGGCACTTGAGAAGGGTGAGAACGGAGTAATTCTCGTTATTTATGGCTTAATGGCCCCAATGCTGTTGCTGGACGTTTCTGGAAAGCAAAAAAAATTGGATCCTTTCCCAGGGCAGTTTTTCTCCCCCTTGTTTCTGGCTCTTTCCACCGAGACTCGTCCTCGGCTGATCTCCCTAGCAGAGTCTGGAATGAAAGGATGACGAAACCAGGTTTCGGCTAAAACTTGCTTGCGGGAAGAAAAGACTACGATGCTGACCTGCCGGCTTCTCTCTGCGGGGTCGAGAATCAAGGTGGTTGAAAGAAGAGACTGGGGATTGCCTGTCCCGGCCGGTGCGTCATTCATTGGGGCAACTCCCGGCTGGCTGGCTGGCTGGCTGCGGGTCAGCGATGCTTGGGGAGGGTGCAGTCCTGCCCTGCAGGGTCGTCGTGGCGGTTGAGCTTTGGAACCTGAGACGGTGGAGGTGTATCCGTTTAATGGTTCTTTTTTCTCAACCCCCCCCCCCAATCATTTATTTATTTTAGTCAGAAAATTAAAACACAAGCTCCAAAGCAAAAGGAGATTTTGCAGAAACGGAACAAAGTTAGACATTTAAAAATGGGCGTTAGAAAAGACAAAAGACAAACACACAACACACACACACACACACTGTCCCCCGGAGTTGAATACTGATACGTATACAGGTAGCCCTCGACTTAACGACCACATTTGAGCCCAACGTTTCCGTCGCTAAGCGAGACAAGTGATTTTTTTGGGGGGGCCCCGTTTTAACAACCTTTCTTGCCACATCTGAATCGCTGCCGTTGTGACGTCAGTCACACCGTTGTGAAGTGAGTCTGGCTTTCCCCCACTGGCTTTGAGTGTCAGGAGGTCGCAAAAGGGGGAAAATCGCAAAGTTAAATTTTATTGCCCGTTTTATGGTTTGGAGAGGATCTGCTCATGGCAAACCTGCCTTATCGGCTAGCAAAAATTCTCAATTTCGGCCTCCAGTTTCTCCACAGGGCCTGTTTTCGAAGGAAGCTGAGCTGCTCCGTACGAGCCTTTTTTGAGCTGGACAAAATTGCCATCTTGTGGCAGGGAGTTCCACAGCTGGAGCTGCACCCAGTAGGAAGAAAAACCTGAATCTGCCACCTGGGCTTCCAATATTACAGGCCGAGAAAGATTTTCTGCTTTTTTTTTTCCCTACACCCTGCATAATAGGATATTGGGGGAAGCCAAATTTGCTTAACTGATTCATTTAATGACCGCTAACAATAACAACTATAACAATAACGGCATTTACAGCTAGACCCAGACTTACAATCCTTCATTTAGTAATGGTAATAATAATAATAATAATAATAATAATAATAATAATAATAATAATAATAATAATAATAATAAAGTTGGAAGGGACCTTGGAGGTCATCTAGTCCAACCCCCTGCTCAGGCAGGGAACCCTAGACCATTTCAGACAAATGGCTGTCCAGTCTCTGTTCGAGGTTGCAATGGCACGGGAAAAAAGTGACTTATAGCCATTTTTCACACTTAATGACCGTTGCAGCATCCCCATGGTCACGTGACTTACATTCGGATGCTTGGCAGCTGGCTCGTATTTATGACAGTTATGAGTCACGTGATCCCCTTTTCTGACAAGCAAAATCAATGGGGAAGCCAGATTCACTTAACCAGGAAAGTCGTAAAAAGGGGCCAATTTCACTCAACAAATCTCTCGCTGAACAACATAAATTTGGGGCTCGCTTGCGGTCGTTAAGGACACCCTTTATTTCTCTCTTAGTGGCCCTGTTCTTTTTTTTTTTTTTCCACGCACAAAGGAGTTCCTTAGTTACTGCAGCAGCTTGGAGAGCAAAATAACACAACTTTTGATCCTCAAAAGGCATAACTCATTTTTTGCTGACACACAATGGCCGGGATCAGAGTCCTTCCAGTAGAGAATAGGCTTCAATAAAGTCCGGAGTTGATTTAAATAAATAGGTGCCTGTTGTGCAGACTTCAAAAATAACACAAAATGAAATGAAGGAATTTCTTTCTTCCCCCCCTCCTTCCTTCCCTTTGGGGAGTGTGTTGAGGCTGATTTAGCAGTTGAATTTTCGAGCAATCTGTTAAAACTCTGATTTGCTTAATTGTGGCTTACTGGTTGTGCACGTTGTGCTAAGACTGGCCAGTCTTCCCCTCCCTTTTTATAATCGCGGCCGGGTTGTGTAAAGCAAAGTTGGACGTTAGGCCCATATGGATCAGAAGCAGGCAGCCCTTGAGTTGCAGCTACAACAGGGAGCAATACCTCCCCTGCTAAGTGAGGCAGTTGCTAAATGACTTTACAACCTTTTTGGCATTGGTTAAGCGAAACCCTGCGGTTGTTAAGCGAATCACGCAGTCCTTAAGCGAATCACGCATTGACTTAGCTTGTCAGAAGCCGGCTGGAAGGTCATGGATGGGTGGTCATGTGACCCCAGGATGCTGCGACCGTCCTGAATGCATGCACCCAAATTTTGATCCCATTACCGTTGGGATCCTGGAACGGTCGTAAGTGTGAGGACCAGTTGGAAATCACTTTGTTCAGTAACGTCGAACAGTCGCTAAACGAGTGGCTGAAAGTCGAGGATTTTATTCCGTGTGGGAAGCCACTGCAGTGGAACCACTGCCGAATTGCACACGGCCCTTGTAGGCGGCTGGGCGTCAGACGGCGTAGCTTGCATTCCCATAATGCCCTGGAGCGATGCCCCATCAGCAAAAGGCATTATGGGAAATTTCAAGCAATAGCTTTCCTGCCACAACAGAAGAGATTTTTATTCTATTTTATCTACCTACCTCTTAAATTGCCGTATTTGATTCTAATTTCATTTTAAAAATGTATCTGATCCCCATTTCATTTTAAACTGTATTTCGTTTCTATTTTATCCTGAATTATATTTTAACTAATTCCATTCTAAATTGTTTTTACTGCATTTTAGTATAACCTGTGTTTGGAACCCTGAAACCTTCATATGGCCCACGGGCTAATCAATAAAGATAATAATAATAATTATAATAATAATTATAATTATAACATTGGAAGGGACCTTGGAGGTCATCTAGTCCATCTAGAAGAGACCAGGATCGGCAGAAATATTCCTGCAGGATTAAGGGTGCTATAGCTACCATTTGAGGAGTCTGTACTGGTAGCCCTCGACTTATAAGAGTTCATTTAGCGACCGTTCCAAGTTACAACCGCACTGAAAAAAGTGACTTTTTCCACTATTACAACCGTTGCAGCGTCCCTGGGGTCACGTGATCAAAATACAGACTCTTGGCCTCTTGATTCCACTGTGGCGAGCATGGTCATAAAACAGGGCAAAATTCACTTAACTGTCTCGCTTAATGACAGAAATGTTGGGCTCCATTGTGGTCGTGAGCCGAGGACTACCTGGACCGTATCTTCCTTTCTAAGTCTCGAAAAGAGATCTGAGCCAGCTTTCTTAGCTCCTGTTGAGGCCGTACGCAGGAATCCTGAACTGATTTTTTTCCCCCGTTGTTGACCCACAATAGGTGTGTCGCCAGCTTTTGTTTGTCTTCTGCATTTTTGCATCACTGCGGCTAGAAGGCAGGGCGGTGGCTGAGTAAACAGGATCACTTTCTAAGGTCAATGGTGTTTTTTTTTCCCCTTCCTAAGTGTATAATAAAATGGTCGCTCACTACCTCAGGAGTCTTCAAACTCAGCCCTTTTATGACT